TCACTTTTGGAACCATAAAAATTACTGAAATAAATTTATTTTTTTATTAAGTCAATATTTTAAATAAACTTTCATATGTCTAAGTCAATATTCATTTGTTTTCAACTGACTAAAAAGAGTTTAAAATTTGACTTCTATTCATTTTTAGCTGTGGAATTGCCCTTATAACACAAATATTAATATTATAAAAATATATAACAAAAATTAATATTATAAAAAAAATTTTATTATACAAATATATTTTCACAAAATGCTACAAAACTTATTCATGTAAGTAATTATGTGTTAGTTGAAAAAAAACGACTTTAATTTTAAATTTAATTACCAACTAATAAGTTTGCAATAATGACATTTTGTCTACTTTGTTTAATTTGACGTACTAACGTTAGTTTTTTGAGGCAGTAGAGTCAATAAACTTTGGACAAGGCGCATTTTTTTTTAAACGAAGAAAAGCGTTTTTTTGAAAATTAAATTTGTTAGTGTGTGTTAATTATTACGTTTTAGAAAAAATAATATGCGTAAAACCTTTTTTTTTTTAATGCTCTTTCATATGAGATCATATCTTTATAGCACTTAGGGATCCCTTTAAAAATATTATTTTCTATAATAGAATCCAAGGTTAATTTGATTAATACATTTGGATAGAATTAAAAATTCTTAAACCACTTAAATCTCTTAAATCATAAATCACTCAAGAAATTCCACTGAGTTTTTGTCTTATTTTAACTTTTCTCCCATTAATTTAGTTATATTTTATTGCAAAACAGAAAAGACTTTTGATTTTTTAAACACTCTTATATTACCACATAAACTGATAATAATTTGATTAAAGTGTCATAACATAAACATTTTCTTTACCAAAATTTAAATTGTAATCGAAGTGTATCATCAGAGTACATAATCAGAGTACATCAGCTTCTATATCATCAATGTTTTACAACCTTCTATATCATCAATGTTTTACAACCTTCTATATCATCAATGTTTTACAACCTTCTATATCATCAATGTTTTACAACCTTCTATATCATCAATGTTTTACAATATTGAAAGATTTGTTTGATGATGATATGGAAGAACTAATGCAAGAACACAAAAACACAAAATAAAAACCATACAAAACTGTATATATTTTTTAAAATCTTTTTGACAAAAATATATTCTTTTTAATTCTAATATTTTATATTTATATATAAATATGCTTACACACACACAAACACACACACATATATATATATATATATGTATGTATGTATGTATGTATGTATGTATGTATGTATGTATGTATGTATGTATGTATGTATGTATGTATGTATGTATGTATGTATGTATGTATGTATGTATGTATGTATATATATATATATATATATATATATATATATATATATATATATATATATATATTAGGGTTATGACTTTTTATCAACCCCATGCTCCTGTTTTGTAGTTTGATGAATTTTTACCTAAAAAGCACGAGATGAACTATTATTTGCATATCTTTTCAAAAAAGTTCACCCTGCCATTGAAAAATCCATTTTGACCTAAGTACTCAAATGTATTTAGAATGTCATAGTCATGTAATACAATAAATATACAATCCAATGACTCAGACCGTTGACCTTGCACTTGCTTGTTGCACAGAAGCAATTGAAGGTGCAATTTGCACAATGAATAAATTTCCACCATTGCTTTGATAGCGCGCTCTGCGCATTGATTACTTCTGGATATCTGTAATATGGATGGCTCTTGCTGCCAGTGATTTTTCAAAGAGCTTAAAGCCTTTTTGTATGGATTCAGTATTTCAGCCAAGTTATTAAAGTCGTTTTTGTTGTACAGTTGGTCTGTAAACCAATGGTCTGTCCAGCCGTACGATATAAATCGACAGTTCTTTGCAGAACTGTTCTTGTTGAAAAAATTAAAATGAATTACTATTATAGCTCTGGAGTTCCACTTTGCTGAATTTTCACTTTCCACTAATTTTGGGTATTTTCTGAAACCTGATCAATGGAAAATGTTCCTTTTTCTAAAAAATCGGAACACTCAAGTGAGAGGAAACAAAAATTTCATATCATCTCTCCAGCTTGATGTTTCAAGAATTACTTCTGTTCTGTTATCAAACAGTGCTTTCAGTTGTTCGTACTCCTTCAACAGTTGAGATACAAATGAATATTCGATGTTTGGCAATTGTGTTTTACTTCTAAGTTCTTCGTCCATCACCAAAAGGAGGATTTTATCTAATACTTGGTATTGACAACTGATATTTGTTGATGCATTTCTCAGTGAACATTCGTTGCAATATTACAACAACACCATTCTTTTTTTCAGTGTTAATGCTGGTAGTATCTGCAACAATCATGTATATTGAATTCCATTGGTGATATTCATTGAGGACTTTAGAAATTCCTTGAGCAATAGTTAAAGCCCAGCCATCTACAAAGCCAAGGACATTCAATTTGATTTCTCTTCATTTATTTTTAAGGACAACCACTTGATAATCCATTCTGTCGATGTGCTTGCCACTAAAGTGTAAGGACCAACTTTCCATATGCAACTTTTCAATCATTTCTTCCTTCAGCTTGATTGCCTTTTTGATTGTTGACTTGTAAATAGCTGATTGACATGGAGTTAGGATGTAAATGCCTTCACGTGACAATTACTTGCATATGCTAGCAGCTTTGTTTGTTCATACTCTTGTGGAGGTCACCAGGTTGACTGCAATTTTGCATTTATGATGTTTTCTGCTTGGTATAGGAGTTGTCTCATCTTGATTGTTTACATATTCACTGGCATCAGCCTCAGAATCACAATCACTAAAACCAGTAAGATGATGAGTTGGATGACTCATTAGAAAGTTTTTGTCTTTTAGAGGGATGGATCATTTCTTTATTGGCCGCATGGTCTGTAGAGTATCCTACTGTTCTTTTGCTTTTCACTTGGAGATGGTACAATCGCTTGTCCTCAGAAGATAACCATGTTCCATCCACTTTAATATTATTAAAAATTTTATCAAAGGGTTCGTAGCTTCCCCATTTGACACATTCATCATAACATTTCAGTATTTTATCAAGCTTTGCTCGAAAAACTTGATCAGATACAAGAGGAAAATTCAGTTTATTCTTCCACAATCTGGTGACTTCTTTGAAAATTTCTGCTATTCGCTCCTTTCTTTCTTTGATTTTTGGTCAAAGGAAATGGTAGCATCTGCTAATTTGCTTTTGGAGAGGCATTCTGCACTTTTCTTCTGGTGAATATTCTTCCAAAGGGACCATGAGTCCCTTTTTTGGATTCAAAATGTTTGAAGGCCGACACCAATAAGGGAGGCAGAAGCCATTGGTAACCGCCTCCAAATAAAACTTTGGAGGCAAAATGATTTAAAGACTGCCTTCAGTAGCTTCTTTCTTCCAGCTGACTGTGGCCACCTAATTGAAAGCAGAAATATTTGCCTCTTGCTGGAGGTTGAAATAAAAAATAATTTCATGTTTGTTTGTAAGTTAACAAGCAATTATTTATTAGAAACAAATGTTAAAGTTTTTGACATGAAAGGTTTGTTTGATATGATTTCATATAAAACAAACCTTTGAATAAATTTATTGAAAAAGTTTGACTACTTAATAAAAATTTTTGAAAATTTTTTTATTGAATAAATGCAATTCAATTTTGTTGGAGTAGTTGTTATCGAATAAATTCAAATGAAATCAAATAAAATCAAATTAAATTTTTGAATAAATTATTAGTTTTATAATTGAAATAAAAGTTAAAATTTGGAAAACTTTTATGCCTTATTTCTATACCTTGGGCAAAAAAATCATTTTGAAAAAAAAGTTTATAAAAAACAATTAAATAGTCAATTTTATGATCAAAATTTGATATATTGTTGCCCATTCCTCTTACTAAAACTTCCATTCCTCTTACTAAAACTTTTATAACCATAGCATTAAGTTCTTAACTTTATTCATTTAATAAAAATAATTGAAAAATACAACAAGCCTTAATATTCATTAAAAATGAATAAAATTAATTTATTTTGATGTCGGCTTGAATTCAAATTTTCCAATATTAAAAACTTTTATGAAAAGTAAACTTGTTTTTAAAAATTTTTTTTGTAACATAATTGAAAATAAAAAAAATGCTTTAGTCAGACCAAATAATATTCTATGAAGATTTTATTACCTGTATAAATTCTGGTGTAGTATGAGATTTTTACTAATACATTTTTAACTAATAATAAATTTTTACTACCTTGTAAAAAATTTTTAGATTACTTATTCACTTGTAAAAATTTTGAGATTTTTAAGCCCCAAATAAAAATGTATTTTGCAACCATGTTGTATTTTGTCAATACTATTGACTCAATAGTATTGACGAAATACAACATGATCACAAAAATAAATTTATAATCAGGTTGAAACAAGCCACAATCTTTAAAATGTTTAAAAGTGAAATAATTGATATACTGTAAATATTTTGATTACAAACAGTGTCATATTCACAACTACATGTTTACAAACAGTGTCATATTCACAACTACATATAATTATGTTTACAAACAGTGTCATATTTACAACTACATTTACAAACAGTGTCATATTCACAACTACATTTAATTATGTTTACAAACAGTGTCATATTCACAATTTTTTTTTGGTTGTTTATTTACTTTTTTTCTAATTTGGCATTTTTTTTTTGGCATTTTTTTTTTTGGCATTTCTTAAAAGTAATATTTTTGTCATAAAGTACGTCACGCAATTTAGACTTTGAAATTACTAAAATTAATGTGAAAAAAATGGATCAGTATCCCAGTAGCAGTACACCAGTATTATCTTCCTTAGACAATAAGCAGTTGCATTTATTATTACACTTTATACAATCAAAACTCGAAAAGGAAATGGAACTTTGTCATTGGTAAATGTAATAAGCCATCTATGATGAAAAACTAATTATATTTCATTTTCAACAACAAAACTTTATAACAGAAAATTTTAGCTTGAACTCAAATTTACCTTTATGCTGTTGTTGCTGCACCACTGTGTTAAGTTTATTTACTTCATTAAGTTGAGCAGCCTGCGAGTTATGAGCATTGGTGTAAAAATCAGTGCAATAACTAATAGTTGATGAACTTGCTGATGGAGATTTTGTAGACAATGAACTTGCTGATAGAGATTTTGATGAGTCTGATTGGGAAAATTTTAAATTGTTATAAATATAGATGGGATGTATATCTAAAAAGAATAAAAAACTAAATTAAAAAATTATAACCAAAAAAAATGTATGTATGTATGAATGTATGTATGTATGTATGTATGTATGTATGTATGTATGTATGTATGTATGTATGTATGTATGTATGTATGTATGTATGTATGTATGTATGTATGCATGCATGTATATATTTTTTTATTCTTATTTACTCCCAGCAAAACTGCAAACAACCACTATTAAGTTGGTAGGTAATAGAAAACAAACAAAGAGCAGTTAAAAAACAAGGAATTGGTTGACTTTATAAAAAGTTATAGGCTTTATGAGAATGAAATTTTATAGAGCATACAGGGACAAAATAAAAGGATGTGACTTTGCTGAATAACCACAAAGCAAGAATGTTCAATTTTAAAGCAAGCACATTTTTGCCTCTATTTTCGTCTGCAGCATTTGGCTGTTACCTCCCAATTATATTTTAAGATCCGAAATGTTCTTTCTTCTACCTCCAGTGACTTTCACCTTTCTATTGGTGGCTGCAGCTAGAATTTTTTGGAATTCAAAATGTTTGGAAGCTGACGCCAACAAGGAGGCAGAAACCATTGGTGGCCGCCTCCAAAAAAAACTTTAGAGACAAAATGATTTGAAAACTGCCTTCAGTGGCCTTCGAGGATGACTTTAGTAAAGCAGTTAGAAAGAAATCATTTGATAATTTCAAAAATTTTCCAGGACCTTGCTAATAATAGAAAATTGATTGGAAAATGGTTGCAGGAGCTAATTTTCAACAGTTTTAAAATTGGAACAACAGATTGCATTTTCCAGCAGGCATGAAAAGAAGATTTAGTCAAGCACTTATTAAATATAAGAGAGACTATGAGTATATTAACACTATGACAAGAATATTGTTTGGACCACAAGCAGTAAAAATATTAAGACAAGACTTCATCAATGAAAGCTAGAGTGACTTGAATGTCTAACAGTTGGATAATCTGTTTAACTTGAAGAACAAGAAGAGTAAAGCCATTAGATTCAAGAATCGATTTAGAAAAAAAGCTCTTAATAGACAAATAAGGCAAACAGTTTAGCTTTATCTTTGGGAGAGGCAATAAGATCATTCCCATAAATTAAAGGTGGAATATTTGACTTTGAGATTACTATTACTCTGTCAATCAATCAATCATTTTAATTCTGAATTAAGATTTCACATTTTTTTTGTTTAAAAATAGTAAATTTATTAATATAAAGTAAACACCTACTAATGTTAATATTTAATTAAAATAATTATAATGCTAATTTTCACAATATATAATAAAAAAAATAAAACTTATAACATAAAAATAATGATGTTAATAATAATAATAATAATAATAATAATAATAATAATAATAATAATAATAATAATAACAGTAATAATTACTATAATAATAATAAACATTATTTTTATAACATAAAAATAACGAATTCAATAATAATAATAATAGTAATAATAATAATAATAACAAAAATAACAACAATATTAATATTAATAATAATAGTTAAAAGTAGGTAATAATAGTAATGTAAATATTTATAAAAATAACAATAAGTGATAGTAATGACAACAAAATATATTATAGAAATTAAAAAGACAATGCTAAAGACAACAAAAATGGATTATATCTAGTTAAAAGAATTTTATGGAAAATTTACGATTTCCCATTAACCTCTACAGCCTGTCTTCTGAGATACAAGATTTCGAAAACTGGTAATAATGAAGCTTGGTATCAGATAGCACTGCATTGGTTTCTTAATATATAATAAATAGTCAAAAAATCAAAGATTTATAGAGATCACTGCATGGTCACAACCACGAAAGAAGAACAAAGAGAAAGTGAACACAAAGATAAGAAAATAAATTGAAGAGTGAAAATAAGTGATTAGGGTTGTCTGGAACAGTAACAAAATTAAAAAGCAAGAGATTGAGAAATACAGAAGTTATTTAGTGCCATCAAGGTTAGTGGTATTAGGTCCAAGCTTTTCAGTGTGATGAGCTTTAAAATCGCCAATAAAAACAATATTGGTAGAGGGGTAGAGAGAAACTTATTTGATAAGAAATTTTATTTAAAAGATTCTTGAGAAGAAGGAGAATGATAAAGAACAAAGAAAATGATCAAAAATAATGATAGAGTGAAGAGATATCAGTGTATACATACATATATGCATGCATACATACATGTCATTTTGCGAATCAATGATAGTACCCATCAATACTGAGATCTGAAGAAGGAAAAGTTTAAATTAGTCACATAAAGAGCAGGCAAGCATGGTGAATTTTGCAAGAAGTAAGATTCAACTGATGGAAAGTTACTTTGCGAACCACAAATATTGGTTAAAGATATACTGAAAGTGTTAGATGGTGGAAATGATTGTTCTATGTTTAATATTTTTGGTTACTTTACTTCAAATAAAATCAAAATTGAAAGAGTTAATAGAATGATGACTACTTCACTGCCTTAAAAAGCTCAATTTATAAGTTACAGCAATGTAATGAGGATTTTGTTCCAAATAACTTGACCTACAAAGACAATTTAACAATCAAAAGTAATCAGTGAAAGTTAAAAGTGGCATTAATGAACTAGGTAATAACAAATGAAGAAATTGTTAAAAATATGAAGGTAGTCAAAAAAGAAGTGCAAAAAGTTAAATAAAACACTGAAAAAATAAATAAATAAATAAACAAACTGAAGAGATATCTTTAACAATTAGTCAATCTTTACACAAAGTGGTGAAATTCGATGCTTCTGAATGCTGTTTGAGACAAGTTATATAAAAAAAATTTCAGACTTTTATCCATAGTTTTTTTTATTGTATTATACAGTATATCATTTTATTATTATTTATCACTTTAACTATTATTATTATTTATTATTATTTAACTATTATTATTATTTTATCTATAGTTCACATAAGATTTTAGAGTTCTAGATTAATTCATACAACGTTAATATATTAAAGAAATTTGAAATATAAATGTTCATAAGATTCCTTTAAGTATTCTCAAACATTTTAATATACCAAAAGCTTTGCTCAATTAAGTCATTCAATAAGTTGAACAATATGGCACTTTTCTTTAAAGGTCCAAGTTAACAAGACTTTATTGCATATTCAAAGGACTAAGATACTCCTATCTGTTTCAAACAGATAGGGGTATCTTAGTCCTTTCAGTCCAAAATTAGTAAATCCATTTTTCAAGATTTAAATTAGCGTTAAAAAATATTTTAGTCAAAATGAGATTATCAGATTTATTTCTACTTATAAAGCCTGGTCACCCAACCCATAAATAATAATAAAAATTAGAATGAATAGTTACCAAGAATCTTTCATATTATAAATAAACAAAAAGTTGCTTAATAAACTTTATGCAAATGTAAGCTATAGTTAGGTATTAGATTTTTATGATCTAATTCAACTATTAGCTTTAATTTTGTATATCTGTATGTTGAAACTTTTATATTTTTATGTATATGCAGGGCGTGACAAATCAAGAAACATGCAAACATTTGTTAAAAAAAGACAGAAAAACGAACATAGTGTTTCCTTACTTTTATTTAAGCAAACATTGGCATTCGCTTAAAATTTTTAAAAACAAATGCATAACTTCTGTAATTTTTTTTCCAAATAATTATGTAATTGATAGTTTTTTATTTATTATAAAAAGAACATTCATTATAAAAAACAATTAGATACTAAAATTTAAAATGCATTTTCAATGACTTCAAAAGAAACCATGCTTATACTTTCTTCAATAGCGTTACTTGTAAGTTTAATAATTAAGTACGCAACTAAAGGAAGTAATTATGTTTTAGCATGGTTTTTACATGCGTTTACATTAAAATGAATGCAAATTGCAATTACTTTAAAAGAAACCATGCTAAAAACATTGCTTTTTTTAAAACTGTGCCTTTTTTTTTAATTTTTTTATTATCGTTAAATTAAAGTAGTGTTTGCTCTTTTTAAAGTTTTGAAAATTTTTTTTAAGATTTGCACAAATATGTAAATTAATAGAATATAACCTGACTTAAGGTCAGGTCAGGTTTTCCTACTACTGGTAACATGTAACCCAGTACAACCTGCTCCATGTCCTGCTGCCTTGTAGGATACACTTTTTTAGGCAAAGGCTAGGAGAAGTTAACTCCGAATTAAAACACTCCCTGCCTTGGGGCTCTTGGTTGAGTAAAGGCTAGAGATGGTGTCTCGATAAAAATACTCATCTTGGGCAGATGTTACATGCATCCAGCTGCTATCTTGTAGAAGGCCTCCTAGGCAAAGACTTAAGGGGTAAACAGATTCTATCTGTTGACCAGCCTCGCACCCCTTCCTCATCTATTACGCTGGCGCAGATGTATTTTTAATACATTGTTTCCAGTTTAGGATGTTGAACGCTGGATCTTCTTGACTCAATGCGTGGGTATTGCTTGTGTCTCTATTTTTATGACTGGGCAACTCATTCTATTATCTCCTAATGAGGGTACAGCTCTAAAACTCAGTTTTATGGTTCTGAGGCCGGCTGGTAGTCAGGTTTCCCGAACTCTGTGGTAGCTCTCAGAGAGGCTGATTCCATCAACAGCCGAAAAATATCAGAGTACTAACAGTGCCATGTTGCGCATGGATGGTGTCCCTGTTTGTACTTTTGGTGTGCATTGCAGAGGCCACATTTGGAGCCCTTTGCTACGGCTTAGGGTTTATTGATAGTAATGAGGCTATTGCTTAGTTGTTAAATAGTGTAATGAGTACTATCTATACTTGAGTCAAGTTCTTTATAAATTTAAAATGACTAAAGTACCTAAAACTAATAAACACAAAAAACCATCGTCATCACCAAGTTCTCTAAACCTATCATTTACTAATATTCGTGGTCTTCGAAGTAACTTTTCTTCTGTTAAGTCTTATCTCTTGCAAAGTTCACCAGACCTACTTGCTCTTTGTGAGACTAATTTGAGTTCGGCTGTCCCATCTTGTGATCTTAGTGTTGATGGTTATCTTCCTTTAATTCGTAAAGACTCCAATAATCACATGCTTGGCCTGGGCATCTTCATTCGTAAGAACTCACCCATTTATCGTGAAACTAGGTTTGAATCTCCAGACTATTCATTTATGTGCTTTCGTTTAGCACAACTTCACTCTATCGCCTTTCTCTTTGTTCTATATCGCTCTCCTTCATCCCAAGATTGCACTATTCTTGATGTTATTTCTGATCAAATTGACCAAGCCCTCTCTCTTTATCCATCGGCCAATATCGTCGTTGTTGGTGACTTTAATGCCCATCACACTGATTGGCTTGGCTCTAGTGTCAGTGACTCTGCTGGCGTTAAGGCCCTCAACTTTTGCCTTTCTCAATCTCTTACTCAAATAGTCAACTTTCCAACTCGTTTTCCAGACAACCCTAATCATTTACCTTCTCTACTCGACTTATGTCTTGTTTTGGATCCTAGTCAGTGCTCAATTTCTCCACATTCACCCTTAGGTACTTCTGATCACGGTCTGATCTCTCTAAAACTATTATCAAATTCTTCTACTTCATCAGAATCCCCCTATCATCGTACCACATACAACTACCTTAAAGCTGACTGGGACTCTTTCCGTGATTTTCTTCGTGATGGCCCTTGGGTAGAAATCTTTCATCTTCCTGCTGACAAATGTGCTTCTTACATAACTTCGTGGATTCAGGCTGGCATGGAATCTTTTATTCCCTCTCGACGATTCCAGGTCAAGCCTCACTCTTCTCCTTGGTTTTCCTCACATTGCGCTGCAGCAATTTCTAATCGAAACCGTTACTTCCATATCTATCAGCAAAACAATTCTCCAGAAAACAGACATCTGTTCACTATCGCCAGAAACCATTGTAAAAAGGTTTTGTCTGACGCCAAAGCTCGCTATTCCCAGGTCATTAAATCTCGTATCTCATCACAAAAATTAGGCTCTCGAGACTTCTGGAGAATCTTTAACAGTATCAATAATAAGGGCAAATCTGTTATTCCTTCTCTCTTGTATGGTTCAGACTTTGTCACCTCACCTAAAGACAAAGCTGAATTGTTTGCAAAGAACTTTTCATCAATATCATCTCTTGATTCCACTAGTTGCGTTTTACCTGACATAGCCGTCAAACAGGTTGATCCCTTGCTTGACATTTGCATCACTTCAGCTTCTGTATCTAAAGTAATTTCCTGCTTAGACTCTTCAACAGCTTGTGGTCCTGACAACATTCCTGTTGTAGTCTTGCAGAGGTGTTCTCCGGAGCTTTCATCCATACTTTCTAAACTATTTAACAAGTGCTTATCAGAGTCTTGTTTTCCATCATGCTGGAAAGCAGCATCTGTTATCCCTATTTTCAAAAATTCCGGAGAGCGATCTGATTCATCTAACTACCGTCCCATTAGTCTTCTTCCTGTCATAAGCAAGGTTTTTGAATCTTTAATCAACAAACACTTAATCTCTCATCTTGAATCAAATAACTTACTTTCTGATCATCAATATGGATTTCGGTCTTCTCGTTCTACAGCTGATGTGCTAACAGTAATAACCGATAGGTTTTACCGTGCATTAGATAGAGGTGGAGAGGTTAAGGCTATCGCACTTGACATTTCTAAAGCTTTTGATAAAGTTTGGCATGCTGGTCTTCTCCATAAGCTTTCTTCTTATGGTGTAGCTGGTAACGTTTTTAAGATTATTGAGTCCTTTCTTTCCAATCGTAGTATAAAAGTTGTCCTCGATGGACAACACTCTTCTTCACATCCTGTAACTTCAGGGGTTCCTCAAGGTTCAATCTTTGGCCCTATACTCTTTTTAATTTACATTAACGATCTTCCAGATATTCTCACATCTAAGGTGGCATTATTCGCTGATGACACTACCATTTACTCTTGTCATGATAAGAAGCCTACACTCTCTGATTGCTTGGAGGGGGTATCTGAGCTTGAAAAGGATCTCACTTCTGCTACAGCATGGGGCTCACAGTGGCTGGTGAACTTTAATTCAGATAAAACTCAATTTTATTCGGCCAATCGTTATCAGAATAATTTAGATCTTCCTATATTTATGAATGGTAATGTACTAGATGAGTCATCTACCATTCATCTTCTAGGATTAACTCTTACTTCTGATCTTTCTTTTAAACTGTATATCAAATCCATTGCAAAATTAGCATCTGCTAAGGTTGCATCTCTTTATCGAGCTCGACACTTTCTTACTCCAGATTCTATTCTCTATCTCTATAAATCTCAAATCCGTCCCTGTATGGAATACTGTTGCCACATCTGGGGCGGATCTTCTAATGATGCTCTTTCTCTTTTAGACAAGGTGCAAAAACGAATTGTAAACATAGTTGGACCTGCTCTGGCAGCCAATCTCCAACCTTTGTCACATCGTCGTAATGTTGCTTCTCTTTCTCTTTTCTACAAATACTATAATGGGCACTGCTCTAAAGAGCTAGCGTCCCTTGTGCCATCTACTAAAATTCATTCTCGTGTTACTCGCCATTCAATTAAGTCTCATCCTTTTTCTGTGACTGTTCCTAAGTGCTTCAAAAACTCTTATTCTTCTAGTTTTTTTCCTCGAACATCAGTTCTTTGGAATTCGCTTCCTTCGTCTTGCTTTCCTGATTCATATAATTTGCAATCTTTTAAGTCATCAGTCAATCGTTATCTTGCTCTACAGATTTAGTCTTTTCTCTTCCAGTAACTTCCAACTCTTATAGTGGTTGCTTGCAGCCTTGTTGGAAGTGAAGATGTTAAAAAAAAAAAAAAAAAAATATCCTATTTAATTAATGACTTAAATTTGTATAAAAAAAGCTTCATACCTGTAAAAAGTCCCTTCTATAAATTAATTAAATATATTTACCTTTTGTTTCACAAGGACCTGAAATTTTGCGTAGAAGTTTTTCATCTTCTAAATTATAATGAATGATATTAAAAAACCATGTTAATCAAAAAAAAAAAAATTACTTAGGTAAAAAAAATTAAAACAACCTTCACTCTGAAGATAAAAATTCAGGTCGTCATCTATAACAAAAATATTATCTTTTAAAGATTTATTTCAAAGTAAAGTATTATAAACTATATATATACTATTAATAATAAACATTATTAAACATGACAATATTAGCATACAGGGCAATTATTATCATTTTTTAATCATAATTAATATCAAAATATTTAGCTTATAGTCAGTTAGGCATGAAATCATTTTTTTGCACAAAACCTTTTTACTGATAGCAGAGAAAAGACCTTAAAAAGACTAATAGTTCCAGTAATATACAGATTGTTCATGTGCTGCAAAATTTGTGGACCACCAAACACGTTTGTCATAATTTTTTCAATTTACAATCAAGACTAAAATAGCTGACAATGCTTTACAAATTATTTTATAAAACTGACCTGTGTGATCAATGTGACATGTGCAGAATAAAATTTTCTTGCCAAAAAGTAAAATTGTAAAATTTTAGGAACTCCAGATTTAAGTTTAAATGTTAGAAATTTTTTCTTAATCCTATGAATCTCTTAAGCTCTTCTATTCTAAATAGAAAGCAACAAGATACTTTGTATTCATGTAGCTGAAAAAAAAAACGTTCCATTTATGGACCAACACAGATGATCCGTGTTGTTCTAAAGGCTGACAGAATATCTAATTAAGTTCTAGATCAAATAAAATGTTAAATTAAAAAAAAAAATTCAAGCTCTGCTTTCAACTATTAATAGTCATAGTCCATTCGTTTTAAATAAAAAGACTTTTTCTTATTTGTTTAGAATAAAAAGACTTGTTATTTGCTATTGTTATTTGTGCAACTACAAAAAAATTAATAAGTGTCAACTTCAACATTACTGAGACCATTTAAAAAAATTAAATTGTAATTTTTAACTGAATTAGAGCAGATTGCAGATAAGGATACATCAGTTTAACTTTATTTTTCCTATTAAAATGTTAAAATAATGCTTGCACTAAACAAAAGAAACATTGTGTAATACTTTTTTTACTTTTGTAAATCATCGCGATACAAAATGCAAATTTTTTATTCTCCTTAGGTTCTCATCTGTAAACTTTTGATGCACTGCTTGTTAGAGACAAATGGGTTGTCTTGGCCACTGAGTTCTTTTTTAAACACGTAAACTAAGCTTGCTCAACTGCTTTTTTTTAACTGAAAGTTATAAAGCTAACAAAAATATAGCAAAAAAAGTCAGAGACGCATCCCTCTGAATTAGAACAAACAAGGAACTTAAACTATTTTTGGTCGGCATAAAATCAGCACAAAATTTTAACACAATAGTTTAACCATAACAACATAGAAACAAGGAGCTGAAATACTTTTAAGTCAGCAGATAAGTTAGCATTGCAGAATGTTAACCCTAATTCTAAAGGCTGGATATGTTTTGACATGATTTGAAACAAAAATAAAATAATAAAATGGAACAAGTACTAGCTACCTTTGAAAGCTAAAAACAGACAGAATGAAATAAAATAAAACTTGCATATTGATTATACTGATTTATTTGATTTAGACACACTTCTCACCACAGTCTCAATTATGCTAATTAAAAATAACACAACTTAACCAATAAGCAAGCTACAGCCACAATTTTGTGCATTAACAGCCATGCAGTAAACCTGCCTAATGTAAAAAAAGCTTTACTATGGCTATGTAAGTGTAATTATCTTTACCTGGAAGATGGGGGGGCTGTGAATAAAAAACTCAGTGCTATAAAATTAGAATTAATGTACCATTTTAGTTAAAATCAGTGTAAAAAAGTAATAAAAACTTTTCATTTTCAAATTTTCTATTCTGTTTAACTCAAATTCTCTATAAATGTATATACACAAATATCGTACTTATATGTATATTAAATATATATATACAAATATGTACTTGTGTGTATATCAATTAGATATGTTTATGTTTATATAGATCCTGGAAAAATATTTGTACTTTAAATATTCTATTTATTTTGTTGTTAATAAAGGTTATTCTTGACTAGAAATAAATATGTTTAAAAATTTTAAAACCATCAAATATTTATGAGAAAAAACTTAATGAAACTTTATGAGGTCAATATAAATACTTAAATAAACTACAAAAGTCTTAAAAACTATGAAAATTATAATAATATTAAAAACCTGGATCTCCTTCATCCCGTGTGACAGTACTTAATTCAGAGGGTACAGTGTTACATATAGATTGCCTGTCTAAAAATCAAAACAAAACAATTTGTTTAAGAATTTAAAATAAGGGTAGCAAAATTACTATTGCATCAATTAAATATTATAAAAAATATCTTAAATAAACAATAAAATATAATGTGAAAAAAATGTTTTTATTGGAACCAGTTTTTTTGTTCTAATGGAAAATACTTTCTTAAAAAAAATTTATAATATTAGTGAAATAAAATGATTACAGTTTCATAGAAATCAAAAATATAAATGAAATAATAATATAAATGAAACAATAAGATAAATGAAATAATAATATAAATGAAATAAATAATATTAATGAAATTAATAATATAAATGAAATAATAATATAAACAAAATACAATCCAAGTAATAAAATTAGTGTAATCTTTGTTAGTTTTGTATATCTTTTGTTAAAACTTTTTTTATTTACAATAATTATCTAGAATATTCTAAAAAATAAAAATTAACAAAGATGAAAAAATATAAAAGTGATTAAAGAAACATTTTTTCACAATTTAAAAATAAATTTTTTTTATAAATAATGTTAAACTATAAAAAACAAAACAAAATTAAATGTATATTAAGAAAACGACAAATAAAAAATAACTTTTATAAAAAAGCTACTAATAAGAAAAATAACTTTAATTAAAAAAAACTACAAATAACAAAATAACTTTTATAAAAATAAGAAAAGTAACTTTATATATAAAAATACAATTAAAATAACAACTTATTTTCTAATTTTCTAAGTATTGTAAGAAAAAAATGCAAGTACATCATAATCTTGAATGCATTTATTTATATAGGATAACATTGTTTTGTTGTTGTTATTTTTAATAATAAAAATTGAATTGTTAAATTTTATGCTATTGGTTAAGCTTGTTAAATTTTATGCTATTGGTTAATTATTTATGATGTCTATCTACATTTCCCCTTCCTAACGCATTTCCCATTCCCAATTTCTCCATTGCATTTCCCCTTCCCAATGCATTTCTATTTTCCCTAACCTCATTGCATTCCCCTTTCCCCCTTGCATTTAATTTACTATTTGATTTCAACAATTATGGTAAAATGGATTAATCATTCAGTTAATTGATGTCAATTTGCAAATTGATTTCAATTTGCAATTAATCGATGTCAATTTGCAAAATAATTTGATATTTTTTGTGTTTTTTTTTTAAATAATAGATATGACCCAACATTTATAACAAGTATGAAATAATTTATTAACTGCCTCTAACAAACTTTACCACCACTACCAAACATTACCACGACTCAAACTTTACCACCACTACCAAACATTACCACAACTCAAACTTTACCACCACTACCAAACATTACCACCATTACTAAATTTGACAGCCTTTAACAAACTTAAAAAAGAACACAATGTCTTACATTTATTTCAGAACAAAATCAAAACCACGACTAAAGACGATAAACAAATAAATTTTAATACTGCATATTATGAGCTAATATCCTATTTATTTACAAACTGAAACTGAAGAACAGTAAATACAAAACTGAAAAACTCATTTCATAAACAAAAACAAAAATGAATGATAAATAATGCTTTTAAAATTTTAAAATATTCAAAATGTAAACAAATGTTGAGTTATGCTTTTTGAAACTTTTTAATAACAAGTGAGAATATGTCAAAACGAAATGAATAATTTTATTTTACTTAAACTTTTGATATTTTATTTTTTCTTAAAATGAATATTTACTTATGCGAAAGAATGAAACTATTGATTTGTTTAATGTTATTTCTATTACATTTTTTATTGTTATTTCTAACTCCATATTAAATTGAAGCGTTATAATGGAATTCCATAATAAGTTATCATAGAATCCTGTATAATAAAGATAAATAAATCATAAACATAAATGAAGAAACTTAGCCTTTAGAAAAATTTATTTGCTATACAACAGCAACAATGGATATTTCTTTAAACAGACTTCAATAAAAATTTTAATTTTTAAGTTTTATTTAAATTTCTATTTAATATTTTAACTTTAATAAGCGGTGAAATATTTAAAATGTAACTCATTTTATTATTAAATTAAATATTAAAGTTTAACTTATTGTTTCGTAGCTACCAACGCGGTATGAATGAGTTAAATTTGAAATTATTTAGGAAAATAAATGATGTTTTTCAAAATTTACATTTTTTGCATATTTGTTTAAACATTTGCCAAACATTCAACACATCTAATAATTTATTAAAATCACTGAGTAGTGTAACTTCACATAAATTTTTCATTACTGTATTGTAAGTACCATACTGTATGTATCTCAGTTTTAAAAAATTTTAATTAATAATAAATTAAAAATTTTGCCTGACTTCTATAGCACAAACTAATTTAAAAAAAACAAACGTTTTTTAACTTTTAGTTAAATTTAACAAAATTATGACTTACCAGTAGATCTATAAAATGAAATTTCTGATGAATCATGCTCTGTTGGCTCTTTTGAGCTGGTTGACACAGTGGAAGGAGGACGAGAACGAACTTAAATAAAACATTCTATATTTTAAGATATTGATAAAAATTCTCAAAAAACTCTCTTTTTTAGAACTATTTTATTTCATAATAAGAATTGGTGTTTTAAAATCTTATAAAATTTTTAAATTTTTTGACTTTAAAAATAATAAAGATAAGGATTATAATAACTTAATAAAAGTTTTATGAAGATCTAGTTTTTTTTAAACTTCAATGTCTTTCGTGCTTAAAAAGATCCAGAATGTAACTTATTTATTAAATGTAATTTTTTAAAATTATTCTTAATGAATAAAAAAATGTAACTTTTAAAACAAATATTTTTTAATAAAAAAAAATCATTTTTAACTTATGTTTACCGTAGTTATCTTTCCTTTAATTAAAATTTAAAGAAGAGATAATTACCTTAAAATCATTTTAAACCTTTAATGAAAAGTTGAACAAACAAATTTGCTAATATTAAAATTAAAATAGTAAATACATTTATTAAATGTTTGTTTTTTATTCGAATAATTAGTCTTAATTTTACAAATATTATGCAATTTAATATTTGTATATCACGTAATATTTGTACTCAAATAACATCAACCGGTTAATTCATGTATTCAAAGATATGCTTTTAAATCAACTCGTTATGGTACTGGTTTTGCCAAAAAAAAAATCATATAGATATATATATAGTCATATAGTATTTTAGTACATACATTAACTGAGAACTTGGACTGGGGTAAGTATTAAAAAATGGCATTTCAAAAATTAAAGTTTGGAAACTATGCAATACTAGACACAATATATAAATAAATATAAGTTATAGACATGAATAGTATTATGCATCTAAATACACATCATATACATACACACGAAAATTTTAATATAAAATATGTAAACCAATATAATGTGTGTGCGGTTCTAGCAGTTTCACTGCATCAAAGCGTTGTATTTCTTTGAGTAGAACTATTAAATCTTCAACTGTTCTTGATCCATTATCTAGAAATAAAATTTTTTATAGTTATTAAAAAAAATTAATTTATACAATAATAAAACCAAAAAAACAAATATAAAAATTAAATATATTATCTTATTTAAATATACAAGTAATACAATAAATAAACATACACACTTAATTTAATTACGGTTAAAAATAAAAAAAATATAAAAATTTTAATTTAATAATCAATAATTTGTTAACAAATTCAATACCAGAGATTGATGTATAATGTTGTATAAGTAGTTTCAATCCTGTAAACATTAAAAAATCTCATCCCATCAATGAAATTTTTTTTACTTGGAATCACAAAGTACTAATTAACTAGAGAGCAAAAGCAACTCAGAGATGTGAAAATGTAGAATTATTACAAACAAATGAGAGAAAATATGAAATAACAATATTTCATAAATGACATTTTATTTACAAATTATTGAAATGGTGTTTATGTAAATGCAGTAATATGTGTTAATGATTATAATTTTAGATTTGAATGGTTTTATTAGGTGGACAGTGAAATATTCTGTCAACTTTAAATTGTGATGTTTTAAAAAACAAACTGATTTTATTTGTTTGGTCTATAGATTATAGACTCCTATGGCATATAGGCATGTTTTTGTGAAAATATGAAGTTTAAAGCTTTATGACGATAATGTTTTAATTTATAAATTAGAACAATTCTATTTATTTACTTTATTTTATTTTTAACATGTTTTATGTTATAAAGGTTATAAATTGTATAAAACAGAAATAAAATAGTGTCACGTAGTTATTTACATCAACTTTTTATATTGTTAAAACAATTTTGCAGTTTTTTTTATTGTTGTTTTGTAGCTTTTTATAATAAAAACTAAATATTCTTTAAAATAATACATGTTTTATCATCAGCATCAACGTATTAAATATTTTTTTTAAAGACTAATTGAGAAACCCATTTGCAAAATGCGCTAAGTCCGAGAAAAATGATTCCAAGAAAACAACAAAAAAAAAACTTTTACTTTTAGTTGCGCATCAACAGAAATTGATATTTTCTTTGTCCATTTTTAGGACAAAAAATTTTTATTTGGTCCAATATTTAAATAGATGATAGATTTAAGTATATAAAACATGGAAATAAAATTAACTCAAAATTTTTATTTTTGTGACTTGGTGCGTTTTGCAAATGGGCTCCTCAATTATAAATAAACAAAATTAACACAAATATTACATTTGCGTTTTTTACTCTTACTTTTTTACTTTTACTTCAAGTATCAAGTAAAAATAATTACTAAAAGTAATACCTTAATAGCATTAAATGCTACTCGTTACAGTATAGCTATAACTTTAACTTTAAATTATAACTTAAATTATAAATTAACAGTAACTTACAGTATTTTAAACTCTGCTAAATGAGATAATTATAAGATAATATTTAAATATGAGAGATAATATGTTTAAAAAATAACAATTATGAACACGCACCTCCCTCCACTACCGCAAAACGGCTAAAGGGATGAGGAAGCATTACAGGCTAAAGGAATGAGAGGGCAATTAGATTTTTTTGCATTAATTAAAGCCCTATGATATATATGGTTATTAATATATGGTATACAATATCCTACACATTTAGGTAGTTTGGGTATGTTGAGCTATATGAAAGCAAAATTATAGTTGATCAGATAGCATCATAGGGTATAGGGTAGCATCATAGGGTATTGATCAGATAGCATCATAGGGTATTTAAAGTCTTAGAGTGTTTTTTTTAATAAAAACATTCTGAACATTTTTACATTTGAACTTGTGAGGAGTGCAACATCGATTATCTTATAGCATGCTGCAACAAAGATATGCTCCTACATTGACTGAGGGTTTGGTTTGGACAAACAGTATATTTAAGTTCTCAAACTTATATATATATATATATATATATATATATATATATATATATATATATATATATATATATATATATATATATATATATATATATATATATATATATACATATATATATATATATATATATATATATATATATATATATATATATATATATATATATATATATATATATATATATATATATATATATATACATATATATATATATATATATATATATATATATATATATATATATATATATATATATATATATATATATATATATATATATATATATATATATATATATATATATATATATATATATATATATATATATGTATAAATATATCAACCCTCAGAATTAGGAAAAAGGACCCTAATTCTGAGGGTTATAAAAAAAATTGTTTATTGGTAAAAAATTTAATAATAAACATAGTTTTTTATAACCCTTTACTAAAAAACTATGTTTATTAGTAACAAAACTTTGTGTGTTCAATTCAGAATGATATTTTTTTTTGTAATATCTTCACTTACAACAAGGCTGCAAGCAACCACTATTAGAGTTGGAAGTTACTGGAAGAGAAAAGATGAAGTTTATAGAGCAAGATAATGATTGCCAGACAACGTAAAAGATTGCAAATTATATAAATTAGGAAAGCAAGATAAAGAAAGCGAACTCCAAAGAACTGATGTTTGAGGAAAAAAACTAGATGAATAAAAAATGTTAGAGCACTTAGGAACAGTCAAAGTAATGGATGAGACTTAACTGAATGACAAGTAAAATGAGAATAAATTTTAGTAAATGCCACAGGAGACGCAAGCTCTTTAGAGCAATGCCCATTATAGTATTTATAGAAAAGAGAAAGATAAGCAACATTATGACAATGTGATAATGGCTGGAGGTTGGCTACAAGAGCAAGTCCAACTATGTTTATAATGCGTTTTTGCACGTTTTCTAAAAGAGAAAGGGTATCATTTGAGGATCCACTCTAGATATGGCAACAGTATTCCATACAAGAGCGGATTTGAGATTTACAAAGATAAATTAAAAAAGTGGCGAGCACAATAAAGAGATGCAACCTTAGCAGATGCCAAGTTTGCAATTGATTTGATATATTGTTTCCAAGAAAGATCAGAGGTTAGAGTTAATCCTAGAAGATGAAGGGTAGAAGACTCATTGAGTACATTACTTTCATAAATATGGGATGATCTAGATAATTGCGATAAAAGTTAGCTGAATTAAAGTCCACCAGCCACTGAAAGCTCCATGCTATTGCAGAAGTGAGATTTTGAAGTTTATTTTGGAGGAATGCTTTTAGTTTTTTGTTATCGAACAGACTTCAATATAATAATAACCAAAAAACTTGTCTTTAGTTTACTGTTAATATTCAAGTTGTTGCAGCTTCCAGGCTTTTTATTGTATTTATTTATTTGTATTTATTGTATTTAATGTATTTATTGTATTGTATTTATAAGCTAATTATTGTATTAATTATCAAATACTTATTTAAAGCAACTACACTTTTAGAAAAGTTTAATAACCAAAATTGTATCACCCACTTGTTGCTGTTTTGTTGCCACTTTTCTAAAAAAATTATTTTAACTGAAACACTAATACATAGATAACCGTTTTTCTACATGATAATATTCTGCAATTATAAGAAATAAAAAGTGTAAATTTTACCTAACCCAACCTTAAGTATTATCTACAAGTTACCAGCACTGTGGATAATTGTTATCAATAAGTAACCGTTACTGTGCATAAAAGTAACTTGAATAATGGACAGAAAAATATCATACATATTAAACAAATATCATAAATACATAAATGAAATAAGCAAGAAAAAATAATTGTATTAATGTCAGATGCAACAACCTGACCACCAATGCTCTAACAACGAAGCTGTGGGATCTTTTTGCATTTCCAACCAACGTACAACTTGAAAAGACTTTTTCATTTTTCCTGCCAAATTTCTGAAGTCCTTCCCAATTAATGGAGGGTTTAATATAAAACTCAACTCTGCTAAAATATCTGCAGGTAAATCTCTAAACAAAAATTAAATCAGTAAAAATATCTGCAACTAAATCAGTAAAGATATTTGCAAAAATATTTTTAAAGATATCTGCATATCTCTTAAGTTCAATTAAAAATAGATGTCATCAATGATAAATAATAAAAATCAACTTCATTTGATTGTTATAATGAACTTTAGTTAAACCATTTCTTAACTAATTTAAGTTTAGATCTTTCAGTGCGTATGCCATTAAAACCAATAAAAAAATAAGTTTTAAATTATATTATAATATAATTTCAAGAACATTAAATGCGCTGCTTTTATTTATAGCAAATAAGTAACTAAATAAATAATAGAATGTAATTGCTTTTGATAAAAAAAGTCTTCTACAGTGCTTTTTTTTTTTTTTTTAATTCTGACTCAAAAACTTTCCCAGATGAAACAAGCTTATGGAGAAGAAAAGCATGCCAAACTTTGTCGAATACCTTAGATATGTCAAAAGCAATAGCCGTAGCCTCACCGCCTCCATCTAATGCACGATAAAATCTTAGTCAACCATACATTGAGAGGATTGAAAACCATATTGATTATCTAACAGTAATTTTATTTGACTCAAGATGGGATGTAAGAAATTTGTTTATCAAAAACTCAATGACCATGGTAATAACAGAAAAGAGACTGATTGGATGATAATTGGAGGGGTCAGTATGTTCATCAGAGTTTTTGAAAATTGGAACAACAGATGCCATTTTCCAGCATGCAGGAAGACATAATTCAGTCAAGCACTTTTAAACAGTTTAGAGAGATTTAAAGAAAATACTTGAGAACAATTTTGCAAGACTATGACAGGAATGTTGTATGGACCACAATCCATAGAAGAGTTTAATCCAGATATGACTTTAGTAACGAAAGCTGGAGTAATTTTAATGTCTAACGATGAGTTAACCTGTTTAATTGGAATGAAAGGAAGAGAATGACCATAAAATTTGAGAATTGAATTAGAAGAAAAATTCTTTGCAAATAGCTCTGCCTTATCCTTGGGAAAGAAAATAAGATCAATCCCATGAATGAGAGATGGAATGTTAGACCTACCTTTGTTAATGACTCTATTGAAGATTTTCCAAAAGTCTCTAAAGCCTAACTTCTGAGATAAGATACAAGATTTAGTGAACTGAGAATAATGGAGCTTAAAAGTGCTGACAGTACCTTTTTACATTGATTTTTTGCAATAATAAATAGCTTTTTGCTTTCATGAGAGTTGATGAAAAAAATGATGAAAAAAATGATTGCGATTAGATGTCGCAGCTGCACAAGAGGAAACCATGGAGTAGAAAAAGGCTTGACTTAGAACCGATGAGAAGAAATAAAATTTTCCATTTCTGCCTGAATCCAGGAGATTATGTTGGAGGTACATTATTCAGCTGAGAGGGAAAAAACATCGACCCAAGGAGCCCCACAAAGAAAATCAGGATAAGAATCCCAGTCAGCTTTAGGGTAGTAGTAAGTTATGTGATGATAGGGTGAGTCCAAAAAGGAAGTACGAGATAAAAGATTTAAAGAGATCATTGTATGGTCAAAACCACCTAATTGAACACAAGCTAAGATCAGAGACTAGACATAAATCAAGGAGTAAAGGTAAATGATTAGGATTGTCAGGAAAATTAGTCACAAAGAAATGCAGAAGTTATAGGCTTTAGTGCCAACAGGGTCAGTAGCATTATAGCCAAGCCATTCAGTGTGATGAGCATTTAAATCATCAATAACAATTGACAAACTCAGGGACTCAACTTTATCAGAAATTACATCTAAAATAGTGCAGTCTTAGAAAAAAAGAGAATGATAAAAAACACAGAGAAAGATTGAAAAGTTGATAAGTGGAAGCTTATAAACAAATGGTCAAATGATTCGAACCTTAATTTATGACAAATAGGTGAACTGATGAGTATGTATAGCCCCAAGCCAAGCATATGACTATTGCAGTCTTTGTGAACCAAAAGATAGTACCCATTAACTGAGATCTGAAAAGGAATAGCAGATTTTAAATTAGTCTCACTAAGAGCATGCAAGTCTGGTGAATTTTGCATGAGGTAATATTTAACTGATAAAAGGTTGCTTCAAAAACCACGAATATTGGTAAAAGATATATTAAAACAGTTAGGTGGTGGAGATGGTTTTTTATGTTTAATATTTTGGGTTACTTTTGGCATGTTTTAAGTTTAAACAGAACTTGACTCATTCATAGATAGAGTACAGCCTCCTAAGCAACAAGCTATGCAATTAGCTCAGTCCTGTTAACTAACCCTATTTAATATATAACTCATAATATAAGTAATAAAATAATTATTAATTTTTCTATTAAACTAATGATATAAATCCAATCAATTTCAAATGAAAAATATGACATCTCAGATGTTCAAGCGATGGTAAATCCAATCAAGTTCAGGACTTTGTAGCAAAATATGATTGACACCTCAGACTCTGAACTTCAAAAAAATTTTGTATTTTTATTACTTAATAAAAAATTATTTTTTTATTTTATGAATGAAAAAAGAAACAAAGTTATTTTATAAAGTTTCCATTAAGACTACATATTTTAATAACAGATTTGTAGCCTTGACCATACAGAAGCTGTCAAAGAAAATAAAAAGTAAAATTTAACAAACAGTATATAATAACCAAACCTTATTGAAGAAACTGAAATTTAGAGGAAGAAAGCTCAGGTCGTTTAATAAATCATCACACATTATATATATGTAATGCCATTTTCTTTATGAAAAAAAATGTTTACTCTTTGATTATTTAAATTATTTTTTTATATTGTTTAAGAGACATTTATATTTATATTTTAAAATTTAATATGGATTAAACTTTGCATTAACAAATATTGTATAAAGTACCACTTGCATCTTTTTAGTTAATTAGTTGTTGAGTGTAAAGCTGTATTATATAAAGTTCTGGTTTGGATATTGATTAATAGTATTAGCAGCTTTTTCTCAATTTCAATCAATCTTAAGATAGCTGCTAGCTTTGCATATATATATATATACTAGGTTGGTTGAAAAGTTCGCGGAGCGGCACCTATGTTGCAGTAGTAGAAACAAATTTATAACTGTATTAAACGTATTCATTCTTCGTATGAACGCATAAAAAATTTCAAGTCGATATGTCATTTCAGTCTTTGTTTACAAGCTATTGAAATTAGACGTGTCATAGTATTTTTTAAAATGGAAAATATTGAACATCGTGCTGTAATAAAATTCTTTGTGAAAAAAGGTTTAAAGCCCATGGAAATTCATAATGAAATGGTAAATGTGTTGGGTGATGATGCTCCTTCAAAAACAACAGTATGCAAATGGGCTGCGGAGTTTCAACGTGGGCGTTCAAGCCTTGAAGATGACCCTCGCTCTGGACGTCCAAAAAGTGCTACTACTGAAGAAACGATTAATGCTGTGCATGACATGGTTATGGATGATAGACGATTGACCAAACGTGAAATTGCTGAGGCTGTGGGCATCTCAGATGAACAGGTATTACACATCTTGGACGATGAATTACGTCTGAGAAAGCTGTTGGCAAGATGGGTGCCGCATTCGCTAACTCTGGATCAGAAACGCACTCGAGTAAAACTTTCTCAAGAACATTTGGCCCGTTTTCAAAAGAATAAAACAGATTTTGTGCGTCGATTCGTAACCATGGATGAGACTTGGGTTTACCACTATGATCCGAAGCTGCAACAACAAACTGCAAAGTGGACAGAACCCGGTTGTTCAGCTCCGAAGCAAGTGAAGGCGTCAAAATCGTCAAAGAAGGTTATGGCATCAGTTTTTTGAGATGCAAAAGGAATTTTATTAATAGATTACCTTCAAACCGGTAAAACGATAACAGGTGAATATTATAAAAATCTTTTGGACCAGTTGGATAAAAAAATTCGTGAGAAAAGACCTGGTTTGCTGCATAAAAAAATCATTTATCACCAGGACAACGCACCTGCTCATATCAGCGATGTTGCATAGGCGAAATTGGTCGAATTAAAGTACGAACGCTTGGAACATCCACCCTATTCACCAGATCTGGCTCCGTCCGACTTCCACCTCTTTCCACATCTCAAAAAATTTCTACGTGGAAAGCGTTTCTCATCACATGAAGAAGTCATTGCAGCCGTAAATGGGTATTTTGAAGGCCTTCCGGAATCGCACTTCAGAGATGGGATACATGAATTGGAGAATCGTTGGAAAAAGTGTATTGCTCTTAAGGGAGAATATACTGAAGAATAAAGTCATTTTTTGAATCATAAAATTGTTTTTTCATTTCCGCTCCGCGAACTTTTCAACCAACCTAGTATATATATATATATATATATATATATATATATATATATATATATATATATATATATATATATATATATATATATATATATAATAATCTTATTTACTCTAAAACAAGGCTGTAAGCAACCTAATCAGCTGGACCTAGAAAACAAAGTTACTATAGAAAACAAATGACAGAGTTGAAGAGCAGGGAAACAGTTGACACAAGACTAGAAAAGTTGTAGGATGAGTCAGGAAAACATGAAGTTAAAAGAGAGTTTCAAAGCATAGAAGTGTTGGGGAAAAAGTTTGACATATAAAAGTTTTTAGAGCATGAAGGTACAGATACAGTAAAAGGATGAGACTTTGATGAATGACCATTCAAGCAAGAATGAGTTTTGGTTGATGGAACTATAGATGATAGCTTCTTTAAGCGTCAACCATAGTAGTATCTGTAGAAAAAGGAAAGAAATTGAGCCTTTTGTCAATGGAAGAGAGGCTCAAACTTATCAGATAACACAGATCCAACTACTTTTACAATGCATTTTTGAACCATGTCTAAAAGAGTAAGAAAAACCAGCCCAAATATGACAACATAATTTCATACAGGGACAAATAAGAGAATTTTAGTATTATCAGGAATAAGATATTGGCAAAAGAACTTAGTAGATGCTAACTTTGCAATCGATTGGTTTCCGTGATAAGTCAGTGAGAGGATTTC